AAAAAGGCTGTATTCACAGCTCTGATGGAACGGCCAAAAAGATGGCCAAAAGAACAGTCTCACCAAGATCAGCCACGTGTGGTCCTACAAAGAAGCTCATACATTTGGAAGAACAGGAACTGCTTTTCCTGACAAGCTTATGTTAAATTTGTGCAAGAAACACACTCAAATAATGAGAGAAACTACTTCAAAAGGTTCTGATGCCCTAAGTGGCTTTTTCTCTCTCATTTAAAAACAAACTTACATCTCCTCTTAATTTCTCGTTTTAAATCTTCAGAGATCTTATGCTTAACAAGTCTTATATACAAGGTGCTATAATTCATCTGTTATTAGTCTTGTTCACGTGTACAAAGGCCATGATCCAAAACCTATTGCAGTAAATGACAGTCTTTAAATAGATCTTAAAGAGCTTTGTATTAAGTTCAAGTAGATATATATTAGCTTTTTAATTAAAGCTATTGAAATAGGAAGCATACACTGCAGCACTTCTCAGAGTATCAAATATGTATATGCTCAAATATGCATATATCCCCTCGTGAAATGGTTACAGGAAAAATAGTTTCACATTGGGATCTCTGTATTTCCATGTGACCAGAAAATTTGTAGGAATAACCATGCATATACCACTTAAGTGACAGATATCTAATCTTTAGGTATGGCTATTGCTGAAGGAAAGATAAAAGTAGACAGTGATGAAAGGTTCTGATATTCTGTTACTACCACATTTAAAGAACAGTCTGAAAATACTATGCAGATGGGATAAAATTTATAGTACAGTGGGTCACGTTTCAAGTGACTAATGAACATGGGCTCATGGGCAATGAACTAGAAGGCACCAGTAGGCTTTAGAGAGTAGGAAGAAATTAAAGATTCATTTTACTGTATATATTTATACTGCAGTGATTTAGGAAAGGTTCCCTTTTGGAGACAATATTACTAAAGCCATCTCTCTCACATCAGACTTTCCTCTTTACTGAATTTATGTATACTGCACTGGAAATTGATATCCGTCTCTTCTAGATTTTCTGCCAAAATACTGTCATGAGAAGTACTCACTACCCTAAGCTTGGAATTCAGGCAGTGATAAGAGCTTCAAAGCTGGAAGAGCATTTCAAACAGATGTATTGCTGGTAGCAGTTGTATGGTATATCATTCCAGTGCTTAATAAATCCAAGAAAACGTCCTAAAAAGATGAAGTATACCAGACAAAGTATTTCTATATCCACACACTTACTTGTGCACTGATACAAAAGATTTGTTAAGATATATTCTTCTCTATTCCTAAACTCAAGGTCTACACCTAGACAGTATTAGAATCAGAAGTGAATTTTCTGGCAGGGAGTGTCTTATGCACTTATACAGATGCAGATACAAGGAGATATATGGCTTGTGGGTACTACCATCATGCAGAAAATATGAGAGACTTCTGTAAGTCCTGTATTCATGTGGGAAGTACCAGGACTTCATCAGAGATGTCATTCAACAATTTCTGCATGAGAATTTTAAATGAATTTGACTGACTGAAATGAATTTGCATGAGAAATCCTGAGAATCTTGCAATTCTCATTCAGTTTCTTTTAAAGATGCAACAGCACATTCTTGAAACACAAAGGACAATTTCTCAGAACCCTCAAGAAGTCTAAAATACCTTATACTAAATACAAAGTACACGTAGATCACTCTTGAGTGCAAGAAAAATGGGTTACTTTTTAAAAAATGTGACATCAAGAAGGTTCATTAACCATATTAGCTGCAGATACACTGGCATATTCAGAAAAGCATTAGCACTGGAGATCCTTCTTTAAAGCTGCTGCATCCTGTTTATCAAAGACGACTTTTAATGCAACTTTGACCGGGGCGTCCCACTGTCTTGCCACAGTTGATTTCAATAAGGCAAGAATCATCACTCTATCTGATAAATGACCAGGTCACTGTCACAATTTTTCCATTATTATGTACAGTCTTTCTGTCACTACAAAATACCCAGTACATCACCTTTGTAGATACTGCTTCGACTATTCTTCCACTTACCGGAAAATACTCTGAATAACATTTCTAAACTAATATTACAAAATATTATGACCCATAATATTTTTTTCCATTCTTCTAGGTCCTTTCACTGATCTGTACTGGCCCTTCCTGCTCTCCTTCATATTCTTCCTTTTTGCTTTTTACACCATCTTTCATTTTGTTCCCTGTTGCTCCTGAGGAGGCATTTACTGCCTTCTTTGGGGATCATTTTTCTGTTTTTCCTCACCCTGCAGACATCTCAGACATCTTCCTCTGCTTCTACATTTTATCTTGGAGCAGTGTTATCCAGTTAATTATATGCGATGACTTAACTATTTAAGTCTCAACTCCTGACCTACTTCCTTCCCACTAATCTACACTTAAATACATGTTTCTGACGCTTCCTGTGTGCTTCACAAAAATTTGTGCTTATTCTGGCTAAAGTGAACTCAATTCTGGCTCATTTTTCTCTTCTTTACTCATTTTCCTTATTCCCTGTGACTGTCAAACATCACTAATAACTTTTTGTTACCTGTATTCACTTACTACAGCTTATTTTTCTCTTCCATACTAGGTGATTCTATCTTACAATTAAAATTCTTGCCCATGCGCTGATTTTTTTTATTTAGATTTCAACTCTTTCTTTCCTGCCTTTCTCTATCTCTAGCTCATCCCCATCCAGTCTCTACAGCTATTTAAATACAGAGAATAAACCTACATTCTCTATTTATTGATCTGACTTTTGCCACCTACTTCTTTAGATCTATCCACCACTCACTAAATCAAGTTAAATTCTTTTATGGTCCCAGGTAACTCAATATTTCTGTCAAGCCCCAGAAGGGAAAAGACCCATCTTCCATTTCAGAAAATGTTAATGAAAGTATTGTAGAAGGTGGTCTTCACAGAACTATTTATTAAACACATGTAAAGCCGATATGAAACTTGTAGAATGGGCCAAGGTGCAACAATAAATAAATAATTTTTAAAAATCCATTGACCTGCTATGAGATTATGCAAGAAATCTGAGAGAGCAGTATAAATACACAGCAGAAACTTGATAAGCTAGTTTATGGATTTTCATCTTGGATTCCACTAACAGGTCTGCTTTCAATTACACAGATGAAAAGCAAAAGTTTAACATTTTGCTCTTCCCCTGATTACAATAAAATGCCATGTCTGAAAATGTGCTATTAAAAGAAAATTCAACTGAAAACTAATTTAGAGATAGGAGTCATATTTTAGAACTAGATTTTTTGGGTAGTATGTAAGTTTTAGGGAGATTTCATCTATGACTGCAGACAAGAGAGCATATATTTAGCCCTTTATAAGCCCTACCTCCACCCAAATGCTTCTTATAAATTTACTGCTGCAAAAGCACATGTAAAAATCATAATCTTAAAATAAAACTCATTCCACAAAGTCAGTGGAACATTTTTTTTATTACAAACTATAAGCTCACCCTGAATAGACATGTTTCCAGATGTTTAGTGAGTTAAACTGTCTGCGTGTGTAGTACCAAGACATGCCAAAGATGCAGCCAAGGGATGAACTGTTCATACACTGACTGGACATAATGATGTAAGTGAATAAACCATCTTTTTCAGTACATAGTAGTTTATATCGGAATAAAATAATTCTTAAAATAAAAATGCAATCTTTATAGTAAAATGAAGTTGCATTATAAAATTTAGAAGGTTTGTAAGACACTTATTCTTGCAAAGAATGATGCGCATACCTATCCTGACACGCATTGGGCCGTTCCACTGAAGTCAGTCCCTTCTCCCTTTTCAGAATGAGGACTTTAATTAATAGATCCTGATGATTTGATGGCTCATTAGTATGGAAAATCAGCTAAGGGAAGGGGCAGTGACAAGTTCATGACCACAAGCGTGTAAGTACGTTTGTCTTAGTAACTTGGCGAAGGTATCATTACAGCACGTAGGAGATCCAGTCTTTGCCCCAAACCTCATTATGCCAGTCATCATGCACATACAGGAACACAGGCTCTGCCCCAAAGAGCCTACAATTAAACAGCATATTTTACAAGGCAATTACTTCATTTACCTGCAAAGCACAGATGCCCATGTGGAATAATACAGACAAATTATCTTACTTATAACAGTTAGAATTACCGGAAATTACTAAAGCATATCTACATCCCAGAAGAATATCTCACCTGAGTAAGACTATAGTTTTGAGAAATTAGTGTCCTAAAGAAGGATCCTCAGCTGCTAGGCTTTTACATCTGATTTTATCTAGTTCACCATATTCAAAAATTTTAGCACATAGAAATGTCAATGAAATTAGAGTGTATGGATTTAAATTTGAAATTACAGACCCGATACACCTCTTATTGACAGATTTGGCTATAATTTGGGCTAATAAAAAATTAAAATCTGATCTTATATATTTAATTCCCCTTCTTTTCCTAAAAACTAGTCCGGTAGTTACACATAAATGTTCATAGAACTCAGAAGCAAATTCCATCAAAAGCAAAATATTCTGAAGGATATCTGTGATGTGCTCTGTAACATGAAAATTTAAGAGCTGAAATATTATGGCAATAACAAATGATTTACTTCATTGACTTTTGCCTGCCATCGTTAGGTCTGCCATTGTTACGCCAAGGATTTATGTAGAGCAGAGACACATATTTGTAAATGTATGCATACAATCAAGTCCCAATTCTGAGTGGTCCTACAGTGCTACTATAAACCCAAAAGCCACTTATCTGTTAGTTACAATAAACTCATGATCACTAGATGGAAAGCAGTTTCTTTGCCACATCTTATCAACTAAAGTTTCACTGTAACGCTCCACTGAAATAAACTAAATTAATACTCCTTTCTATACGGGAGTAAGGGAATAGGAAGAAAGTACGCAGTATGGGAAGGCACATGGTGGCCTAGATCCAAATCCCTGCTTTCACAAGCAGCCGCATCACACCATGCCGTTCAGAAATGTTTCGGTTTTCTTTAGAAAGCCTTTACTTCGCTACTCCGCCTGCTCCGACGAGGTGTCAAGCAACTGCCCCTCTTTCCTTCGCGGTAATTCAGTCTTCGGCAGAGCAGCCCCGCCGTCTCTCCAAACTGCCGCTCTTAACACCCCTCCACCTTCACGGTGCGTACATGTAACCCGACTCCCAGCACCGGCTGCCTCTCCTCGCCCAGGGCGACAAGGCCAAATCCCCCCAGCCGCGCCGGCCCGGCAGCTGCCACGGGCGGCCGGG